CTGTGAGAGGAGGGGCAACATTGCTCGGATTGTAGAGTTCAGGGGCTTATATGCATCAATTAGAGTCTAGGGGCTTAATAGCGATTCTGGGGTTGGTTCAGGGGCTTAACTTATGGTTTTGCCTTTCCAATATATAGTCGACTGCCATTCCCCACTTTTTCATCATCTTGTGAAATCTCTCTCCGTTGATCCACAGCATCAGCTCCGTTGCTTTCTGTAAGCCTCACTGCCTTTTTCTTTTTTTTTGGCCAATTTGAGCTGTCTTGTGCAATTTGCGTTTTAGTTTGAAAACAAAAACATGATGTTGCTTCACAGTAAGCTTGCAATTCATTCTCATTCAATGTTATCTTGTGTTTCTTGTTGGCATTTACGAGAGTTTTTCCTTTGCATTTGGTGGGTTTTCAGCGGATTAATCTCTCCAATCATTTAAATGGCGCAAGAAGTTGTTAACCCAGATGAACCGGTAATCATCTAAAAATGTCTAAACTTTGAAGTTCCCCTTGCTTTTTTTATGTTACAGAATTAGAATATTGTATTTTTTTGGCTTAAAGTTGTTATCAATAGAAGAAATTTCAAGAAAAAAAAATATAGGCCTTTCAAATGATAAATGGGTACTGCTTTTTTTCATCTTTAGGTTGTTCTTGGGGAAGAAATAGAGCATGTGAGAGTGATCACCTTGAACAGGCCTCGTCAATTGAATGTCATTTCATCCAAAGTGGTATGTTTCAGAAAACTCAACTCCCAATTTTGAGTTGTTGTCTGCATAACTTTGTTTCTTCTATGGCAATCAGGTTTCACTGCTTGCAGAGTACCTCGAAAAATGGGAGAAAGATGCTGAAGCTGAGCTTATATTACTCAAGGTTTGTTCTCATAGTTCCTCAAATTTGCAATATATCAGTCATGCTGTTTCTGGTTTATTTTGTTCGATATGTTTATTTCATTACTGTTATTTAATCTGTAGGGAGCTGGACGGGCTTTCTCAGCTGGTGGTGATTTGAAAATGTTCTATGATGGAAGGAACTCAAGTAACATTCTCAATCCTGATATTCAACTTCAATTTTTTCTTCTTTGTTTTCCTCTGTGTTTTGATTTTTTAGTATTTGCCATTCACATTGTGCTTGTGTGACTGTGGCATGTACTGATGCGTAGAAAGAGCAGTATTAATATTTCCTTACAATGAATTATCTTTGTGACAGAGGATTCCTGTCTTGAAGTAGTTTATAGAATGTACTGGCTTTGTTTCCACATTCATACCTATAAGAAAACACAGGTACAAATTATAACAACTTACTATTTCCCAATAAGTTCATAAAGGAATCAACCCTTGTGAAACAGCTGCATCATAGTGGGCACATAATAGACAGCTTCTAATCTAAATGACAGGTTGCTCTAGTTAATGGAATTGCAATGGGGGGAGGTGCATCTTTGGTGGTCCCAATGAAGTTATCGGTCGTAACAGAAAAAACAGTGCGTGCTTACTCCTTATTTAGACTTTCATATGCATAAATATGTGAAAAAAATGCTGTTAATACAGAGGCTTTTGTCTCTTTCTGTATTGCCTTGCTTACTCTCTTTTGCCCTTTTTTTTTTTTTTCTCACAAATATTTAGGTCTTTGCAACTCCAGAAGCAAGTATTGGGTTTCATACTGATTGTGGTTTCTCCTACATGCTTTCACATTTACCTGGGCGTTTGGGTAAGCTTACATTGGTAAAAGGAGTTCATAGATTATATTAGTCCTGAGGTTAATGCTTACAAAAGCAAGTATTGGGTTCATACTGTATCTCAGATCAATGTAGTCCAAATGGATTGTTTAAAAATGAGAAAGAAGTATTTTCCTTTTCTTTTTGAATCCTTTAAAATTAGAATTCATCAGGATTGTTTGTGCATTGATACAGGGGAATTTTTAGCTCTAACAGGGGCTAGGCTAAATGGTAAGGAATTGGTGGCAGCTGGGCTAGCAACACATTTTGTTCCTTCTGAGGTTAATACGATTACCATTTAAGTAAATTATTTCCTTCCTGTAACCTTTTCTTGCAACATGAGTTCATGTCACTCACCCTATTAAGTCTCCCAGGGTGTAACCACCTTGTAAATAAGAAGCAACCATCTTGTAAAGCATTCAACTTGGAAAAATGCCTTAAATTAAGTTTAAAATACATTGATTCAAGTTCTCATGCTATGTCTTTGTCCTTGTACTCTAGTAAATGACTGAATTAGAGTGATATTGTTTTTCTTATCAGAAATTGCCTGAGCTAGAGAAGCGTCTGATAAGCTTAAAGACTGGCAACATAAATGCAGTCAAATCTGCAATCGAGGAATTCTCTTTGGATGTGCAGCTTGATGAAGGAAGCATCTTAAATAAGTAATAAATATTAAGTAGCACTGAGATTGTGTTTTCTTAAATAGATGCTTAAAATTAGCCTTGAAAATCTTAGAGCTCTGGAATTTCTAAGTGTTTGTTGCTTTCCTCAGGCAGTCCATTATTGACGAATGTTTCTCAAAGGATACTGTGGCAGACATTATAAAATCATTTGTAAGTCCTTTCTTTTTCTCTATATATCCACCTTTCCACTAAAAAAGGTCCCAAAAAACTCCTGATTCACATAGTTTAAATGGAAAAACAATTCATCATTAACTAAATGCAGGAAGCTGAGGCAAGCAAAGAAGGTAATGGGTGGATTAGTCCTGTGCTGAAAGGGTTAAAAAGATCATCGCCAACAGGATTGAAAACAACTCTGAGATCAGTACGTATCATTCATGTCAGATATTTCACTGGCTAGCAGATCCTAGTAAATATTCTATAATAAAGAATGCTTGAGATAGAAATGAAAGTATGAAAAATGCTGCCCTGTGAAATTTTAAAGGCTTTTTTTTTTTTTTTTCTTTATGCCTTTTACCAATAACAATATGGATTCAGATTCAGACTTCAATTTGAGACATAAAAGCCTCTTCCTTTAAATTGATTGACTGACTATAATTTTGATTTATAGAAGGGATATCAGGGATTTAGCATTTGTTGTCTACTTGTCCATTGAGAAGGCAGTGCTACATGGTGTCTCACCAAAACTTTTGAGAACCTTATTTTTGGACCTAACAAATAGGATGAATTCAGAATATGATCATGTTGGCCTGCTCTTACTGCATGCTGCACCCCCAAGTTCATACCACTTTCAGTTTCCACACCCCGTTTCCCCACTCCTCTTCTCGTGTTCTATTTGTCATTATTGTACTCTTGTTTGACGAATGTGTAAAACAATTTCTCACTATTTTTTTTTTTTTATTGTCTTTGAGCTAAATAGCCTAAATTTCATAGGTTAATTCCTCAGTTGGATTTGCATTTTTGAAGTCAAAGGAAATCACAGATCTGTTTTTCTTAAAACCATACATAGGCTCAACTCAATGCAGTAGGATTGAAGATGACGTTCATTCACTCATTTGCTCTACTTCAGTTTTCTTCTGCATTATAGATATTTAGCTTAACCTCTACCTTTCCCTTAGTAACTAGGGAATGGATATTACATTGTTATGAATCACATAAACTACTATTTTCCTAGACTGCCAGTTATTAAGTTTCATGCTTATGCTGCCTTTATGCTTTTGAATGTGTTATTCAGATTCGTGAAGGGAGGAAGCAAACATTAGCTGAATGTCTGAAGAAAGAATTTAGACTAACAATGAACATACTACGAGCAACAATATCATCAGATGTCTATGAGGTAGTCATTCATTCAGAAGACTTTTAACTCTTTAGAACTTTGAATTGAGAAAGAAAAAGAAGTTCCAAAAAGCAGTCAGTTCTGACCCATGAATGGATTTTTCTTCTGTTTTTATGGAAAGGGTATTAGGGCTCTCACAATCGACAAAGATAATGCTCCAAAGGTATTCATTTTTCCAATTTATGTTTATTTATTTATTTTGTATATTGGAAGCTAGCCATCTAGCATTGAAGAGGTTTACATCCCTGACTTTTGACCTCAAATCATAGCTTTTAAATTAGTGGGTTCTTACTCAGTCTCCTGTTGTTCATCTAAGTTAACTATATAAACAGTTAATGATAAAATTCAGGCTGCTTGTACAACTGAAGTGGAATTAAAATGAAAGAGATTGTAAATATATCTAATATATTATCATGTGGAGAACTATTTTCTTCAACATGTGCTGGTAATATTTTGAGTCATTTTGTTTCTCTGGGATCAATTAATTCTCAAACTTTTGCAGTGGGATCCACCAAGTGTTGAGAAAGTGGATAATGAGAAGGTGGATCTAGTATTTCAGCCATTCCAGGAGGAGTTGGAGCTCCAAATCCCAGAGCAGGAGCAACACAGGTTGGCATGAACTTGCACCTTGAACCATTTGCCTTATGCTTCACAATAATATAAGCTTCCTAAGTTTGATTTCTTCTCAATGTATTATATGAACCAAATTGCAGGTGGGATGGAAAGTACGAGCACTCAGCTTATGCAAATTGAAGGGCGGTGATGACACAGCAATAAATTCAAGTTTCTGGGAATAAGTTGCTTGTTTCTATTGAAAAATAAAAAGAAAAGAAAACCTGTACGCATAGATTTGGATTGTACTCGGCACTGCTGTTGTGAACTTGTGAGTGTTGCCTTTGTCCATCTCCATGCCGATTTTATGTTGTATCATTTGCCATGAAAAACATTAAGTTAGCATTTGAACCTTAATCTTTTATGGTTTTGGCAATTAAGTCTGTTGAGATTGCCGCAGTGGAAAGACAGTAGTGAGGCATAAACCAAGCAAAGAACACACCAATTTACTTGGAAAAGAAAAACCACGATCAAAAGAAAATAAAAAAAATTACTTAAAAAAAAAAAGAATTACAATAATTTGAATGCATTCTCTCACTACAAAAAGTTGCTAAATTTCATTTTGGCTCCGAATTTTTCTCATGGTTAGGTTCTTTGCCCAGAAGGTTTTTATCTTTTCATTAGTAAATTTCAAATACTTATGCTTGATTTCAAAATCCAATATTTCATTATATTTTGGTTTCTTTCTTTCCTTTTATTTTTTTAAAAACATATTTTGGCATTAAATTTTAGCTATTTGATAAATTAATTTTTAAAATTTTGTTTTCTAAGTGGTGAAATAAGTTGTAATCCCTAAATTGTAGGTTTTTGTAATATTGGAAATGTAGAAGTCAGCTCTATAGCTCCCACCTAAGGGTGGGTTCAGCTTCAATTTGTGTATGAAGAATGAGATGCTGTTAAAAATGAAAAAACAGAAGTCATTCTACAAATTCACTAACCCTTTAGATGTAGTTTTTTATAATTACTTTTTCCATAATCTAAACAGAAAGAGAATAAGAAATTCTCTTATAATAAATTTTATTTACATAATTACATGTAATAAGTCATGTGTTATCAAATTCTTGTTCTGTCCAATTTCGTATAATCTTATATAAGGAATGATTATTACATGACAGAATTGCATCGAACCTGAGGGATGATTTAAATGTGATAGGCATATATTTTGATCATTAGAAGATCTAAATGTGATTTCTGTCTGGTTTCGAACATGCTAGTTTAGTTCTGACTTGCTAGTTCCACCTTACCCTGCCAACATCCATCCCAAAAGGCTCCCTAAGAAATCTGTTCTAGTAATATCTGAAATTGTGTCCACCTGAAAGAAGGATTTCGCCTTGCTTGAACTCCTTGTGCTGTTCACAAGTTTGAACCATTGGCTTGCAGGGTCACATATGTTATCCTTGCTCAAGCATTTGCATGCGTTTATAATGACTCTGTTGTTGGAATCTACATCCAGGCAAACTGATGTACCATTGCTGAGCTTGGATGATAGGTGCATCTTTGAATCGGATATCATTTCCCATTTTGAACTAGAATCACTGCAAATAACCCCAAGTTTTGCTGGTTTCTCCAATTCATCAGCTTGTAGGCAGAAATAAGTCCCCTTTATCACTAAACTCTTCTGTGTTGTGTAACTCCAGGCTTCAGATTCCGAGCAGGCACCCAAGCGCAGAGGCTCAAACAATGATTTCCTTTGTAGGCAGAGCCCTGTTGCAGGATGGAAAATCACCAAATGTGGTTTGGATTCCGCCAGACCTGGCCCTACAGATCAAACAGACAATTATGATTCATGGTATCAACTCCAACACTTCAAGTTAATTAAGAAAGGTTTACATGAGGAATAAGGTTTTCTTTACCTTGGAGAGGAGATTGCAGGGCAGATATTCTCTGCAGGAGACTTGAATTCCTGATTTCACACCAATTCCAGTTTAGGATCCCATAATACTCATTTAAACCCATAACCCCCTCTCTCAGGTAGTAACTCCCATCCAGTGTCCAATATGCCCAGTCGAAGTCAAGCTCAGCTGCTACCCCCATGAAACAATTCAAATACCTGTTGTCATTCACATTGGTTCCTCTTTGATCTACCCCAAACTCGCTCACAAACAGCGGATACGCCTGCTGGAGCAAAAATCCGGTTGATCCCATCACCCTTTTCACCACATTCCCACAAACCTGGTTTGGATTCCCGGTTCCCCACGCCCCTCCATCTGTAAAACTATACCAGTGCATCTCAAAAACCAATTTCTCAGTGAAGGTGAGGTTCACTGGTCGAGTTTTGAGGAATGACAAGGTTGAGTCAAAACTCAAACCGGAGAGGATCACCAGGACATTTGGGTTGGCTGAGTGCACTGCTTCAGCCCCTCCCTGCATGTACTTGTACCAGTCATTTACATTCTGTTTGGGACCTCTGAGCTCATTTCTAAGGCTCATGCCGATCACATTTGGAACGCCGTTGAACAAGGTGGCAATCCGGGTTAAGCCCTTGATCCATAGATCAGGGTTGAAGTACTGGTCACCAAAGAATCCATTGCCGTCGAAGTTACTGCAGCACCAGCCGGGCTTGCTTATGTGATTGTCTAGTATAACCATGATGTTGTTGTTATCTAGGCTGGACACCACCGCCTGGAATGATTTCCCTTCGTAAGCACTCTTAGCAATTATTATATATCATTTCAATAAAGTATAATAAGAAAATTTTACCCCCTTTTTAAGTTTAATATTTTTGCCTTCTTTCTTTTGGAATTGTTTTCACAATATTTTTATATCAGCAATGTTACGAATTCAATGTTTTCTTCTTTTTTTTTTAATAACAATACACATTAATTTTCTCCTATATACAAATTCGTGTACGATTGGAAACAATTACATTATACAATGGACCCCTGCTTAAGTTTGTAACTCGTTTTTATTAATGAAATTTATTTTTTCCATCAAAATAAAAATTATGGCAACTTTGCCAATCGGGCCTGTGACCCAATTGGTTGACCCTCAAGTTTTAGAGTTTGGGTGAGGCGGAGGTTAGGGTTTCGAGTTCTGCCACCGT